GCAGGCGCCTTGAGTCAGAGCAAAAGGTTTCGCAGTCTCCTTGTAACTATCCTATTTTTTACCGATAGTTAGATATGGTAATGGGATTAAGGGTCCCTATTAGGGGTCCCTCCTACTGTCCCTAGACTTTACCATGCCAGGTGGAAGTCTGACCTCCCCGATCTGGGTGATTTGGATCGTATTGGGCCATGTACTCAGCGGGGACCAAAGGGAAGATCTAGTGATTATATGAACCATGGTGTACACTTCTTAAAGGGGGTTACATAGGGGACTATATAGGGGACTGCTATAGGCTTTATGAAGGGGGATACTGGGAGTTGAGACGATAACTTATACAGGGATCAGGTAGGGGTATATAGGGCTGTAGAGGGATTATCTACAGATTACTAAGCATGGCACTCATGCGTATGCGTGGCTTTGAAATTCGGGTTGCATTGCAAAGCCTTATTGGCAGATCCTTCATAAGTCTAAGAGCGGTGCCATGTTCGTAGAGCTTGAGCGCGACCTGCAGGTATAATTCTCAGATTCCCCAAATAGGGGTACCCCAAAATAGACCCCCGAATACTATAATTCTTTTTATGGGCCCCCAAACAGGTACCCCGCCCCCAACTCTCAGATGAGCCATGGCGTTTCTGTGAGTTTGGAGGCTGGATTCCTCGGACGAGGAGGAGGAGAATGGAGATCCCTGGTAGGATGTTGCGGACCATGCCCATGGAAAAGAGATGCGTTGGATGCCAATGAATTCACGCTTTGCTCTCCAAGAGCTCCTGGATCGTGTCAGATGTTTGTCTTTGACTTGCGCTTGAATTCCGATGCATATGCGAGAAGCCTTTTCGAAGCTAGTCTCCAGAGCCGCTGTTGGCATGTGGCTGCGGTTCTTTGTTTAGGCCGATCATGCTGTTTTAAGCGCCGATTTAGGCGCGTGGGGAGCCAACCGCAAGAGCATTGCACAGCTGTCAAAAAGTTGTTTGTCACGCAGCCTTGCTGGCACCAGCTAGTCAAGTAGGTCAAGTGTAAGGCAAGACGACAAGCTCCTCTTGTGGCTTTGTCCGGTTTGCCTGTGTCGTTTTGCCCTTGTTCGGGTTTCTTAAGTTGTTGCTTTTTTGCACGTGCAAGCTCGGGTGTCCCACTGGCCAACGCCCCAATCTTTGCGCTATCCCAACCAGACTTCGGCCCATTTACAGCCAAAGGATGCCTTTTTTTTTGGGTCGGTTGTGAGCTGAGGAACATCTTTTCTGTACCGTTGAGGTATTTCCCCCTAAGAACGCAGAGCCCAGAAAAACATGCAGGTCTGATGACCATCGGGAGCCACATTGGTATCAGAGGTGTCTAGGTCTGGCAGCTGCTTAAATCACGTACAACGGCCGGCTGAGTAACCCATCTCTGACGCACCCTTATGTCCAAGTCCCCAACATCCTGAGACCAAACATAAGAGCAATCCTGCACAACTGGCCGAGCTTCCTTTGCCATGGTGCGTGCTCAGCCTGGTAGTAGGCTAGCACTTGCCAGCTTTCCCGATGTCCCTGCATGAGCCATTCCGCGAATTCCTTTGCAGATGCATTTGGGACTTGTTGGCATTACAGAATGTATAAGCCTTTACCAAGAATGTCACAATGAGTTGGGTCCTTGAACCTAAACAGCCCTGTCTTTCCATGCATTTATATCCCTATATGCAACCCTATATATCCCTATATTACCCACCTCGTACTTTACTTTCCTTGATCACATCACAAACTGTGCCTTTGGGCCGCTGGAGTCTGGTAGGCTGCGGTTCTTCAGCAATGCTTTGGCGAGTCGATGGAGGCTGTCTAGAGTCGGGGATTACCACTTCAGGAGTTATATAAGGATACACCAGGAATAGAAACACCGTAAACCCTAAATCCTAAACCCTAAACCTCTAACGCCTGAACCCTAAATTCAACTGGACAAGTTGAACAATGAAATGGAAGCTGAGTTTCAGGGGTTCTATGGCTTGTTGGTCTATGGGTTGACGCTTCAGGATGGGTTTACTAGGGTTTAGGGTTTAGGGATTGAATCCACAAGGAAGCTCAGAATTCGGAGCAGGTGTGTTTAAACGGCCGCATTCCCAAGCTGGATTTGTGAGTTTCATTCGTATTTTGCCCCGATAACGTGGCAGTTTCTATTTTCTTTTCCATTAGTCCGTCTGTACACCCAATATGCATTAGTAGTTTCCATTTTCTTTTCCCCAGATACATCATGTCACGAGTGCGTGAAAGGTGCGCACCTCCGACCGCCTGGGCAACAGCCAGGCCTAGCTGAGTGGAACACCATTGAAAGGGACCCCAGATTCATAGAAACCTTACTGTAATCCCTATCTCCCTAGGTGCATCCCTATACATCCCTATCTAATCCCATACACCCAACTGCATCCACTGTGCTTTTCAAATTTTCTGCCACGACCGGAGGGCGATGAGTGCAAACTCCGGGCAATCTGCTGCTGAGAGAGACCGGCCCTCGGCGGTCTGCAGAACTGCTCATGTGGTAGTTTCCCAAAATAGGGGGACCCCAATATGGATCCCCAAATATTATGATCCTTATTGTAGGGACCCCCAGAAAGGTACCCCTAATTTTCGGAACCCCCCATGTACGGTGGGCTAGTACGGCTGCGTAATCTTCCCTAATGTTCATGTCCCACTGTGCCATCCTGTGCGCAGAGCAGCTCAGAAGACGGCGAGTAGTGTTCCTGTGGCACTATTTTGGAGACATCCACGGAGGGCTGGATTTTTGACAGTCCCACCGTGTGTCCCGCAATAGCAGGCAAAGAAGGCTTCCGAACTTTGGAGCATGATGGTCCCGGGCTGAGTCCGAAGGCAAACCTTTCCTGTTTGCTTGTAGGGCATGCAGGAATGGATCCTATGGCAGCCCCTCTAGAATCCACAGTTTCAGTAGTAGTTTCCGTTTCTTTTCCACTTCTTCATTCGACTTGTTCCTCTTACCCTAAGCCCTAATGACAACCCAGGCACTAAATTGAAGCTTCAGTCATGAGGTTGATGACAGCAACGGCAAGACAAGTTTTTTTTCTTTTCGCAGCATGCCCATGAAGATCGAGAACTCGCCATCCTGACCCTGAGCACTAAATCCTAAGCCCTAAACCCAAAGCCCTAAGCCCTAAACCCTCAGTCTGCAAGGTCCCAGAGCAGCACTGGGACTTCAGAGAGCCGACCTCAGCAACAGGTTGGTGTCATCTATTCTGCGGCTTGGTCGTTCAGCGAGTGTAGAAACCACTTTCAAACTTCAAGTTCCCATCAACTACAAGAATAGACAAGGGTGATTGTGTAACAAGGAGCCATTCAACTTTCTAGTTTTACCCACTTAGAAAGAATGCTTGGATAGATGGTAAGGTCCACCCCAAAGAACAACAAGATCCTACTGGCCTTGGAACTCCTGTATGCGACGGAACTTGAGGGGAGTTTGCTCCGTTGGTCTGCAGCTTTTGGGAACTCTTCAAAGGCTTCGGCCTCAAGAGTGTTAGTGGTTGCAGAATGCTCCCAGGTTTGAATACATCCCTTGTCAATGACCAGCCCCTCTAAACTTCAAAGCAGCGTTGAAGACCTCGTCGAAGCCATCTTGAACGCGTCATCCGTCATCTAAGAGCCCAATGATCCCGACGCTGATCTTGGCCATCTTTGTCTTACAGTATTTCATCAGGCCCATACCTCAGTTGCTGCAGGACAAGTTGGTGGATTTCTGCCATTATGATAGGGTTGTGAAAATGGTACTATGGGTTGCCAAGAAGAAGCTCACCATCAGTAGCGGCAGTTTTTGTAACGGTTATTGATAGCTTTTGTGATTGCTACTGCCCTGTGACTCGACACATGCTTGCTTGCATTTTAGGGCTCGCAAAGGGGAGCCCTTCGTGCACGCTGCAGACTTCTAGCGCATGTCCTGGAAGAAGTCTTGTGGAAGTGGCAGATGTTACCGACATGGTCACGACGTGTATATTCTCCATGTGACGCCAACGTTGTAGATCAATAGCCCTCTAAGGCATACAGATTGCAGTCATTGTGATTCTTGCTTTAGGCTCTGGTGAGGGAGCAAGCCCTGTTGTTACAGTGGATGACCATACGGGCCTCGGGTGAAGCCGCAGCCACCCGCCACGCTCGTACTTTCTTTTCCTTCCAGCTCCTGTGCTGCAATCCTACCGAGTCAGAAGCAGTCAGACGTTGCGGAGTCGCGCCAGCCACGTTTGCGAAAGGTCGCCAGTAGGGTTTCAAAAATGAAAGGGCAACACTTGTTGGATGTTGTCATTCAGCCAAACATGTATCTGGTCTGCACGGGTGTCGGCATTCGGGAAAGTTGGCCGCTGATGCGACTGCTGTTTCCAACTCCTTTTGTGCTTAACTATGCTTAAATATGGACCTGCAAATTGCTTTCGTTTAGGAAAACAAGGACGACAGCATAAGGCATCCCTGCTAGATTCACTCAGCACAGCAGTCTGCACTTTAGAACCCTACAAATGCGTCGTATAAAATCTCTGTACACCCCAGGTGACCCTCGTCTCCAAAGCTTTCTTTTGACAATGTCGCCAGGAAGGAGAAGGAGGAGGTGCGCCTCATCCAAGATGAGCGGAGAGCCCGTCGGGAAGCTGCTGACAAAGCCTTGGCAGAGTGAAGAAAACTTGCAGCTCAGGGCTCAGAGGGAATGGACTGTTGAGTGGAGCCTACCAGGTTACCAGGACCCCCCAACTACCCTAGGCTTCAGGGCTTAGGGTTTGGGAATAGGTCTTAACGACCTTGCTTCAGAATTTCCGCCCGACATAGCCAGCATTGCCACTATGCCGAGCAGTGCCAGCATGCACTTGCTCCTTAGCCTTGGCAATGTGCTAATGTGCTGCCTGGTGCTCGCTTCTTGGGCTCAAGGCAAGAGGAGGGATGTTGGGGTTGGTTGCGTGGAAGTAAGGAGTAACTAGGAGGCTTCCGACGAGTTGTTCCATGAGTCGTTAACAACATGTGCTGCAGGAATGATTTGACGCAATACCAGGGCCCAAAATCATACCATTCAATTGAGGTATTCAACACTTCTCTGAACCTTGCGGCATGGAAGAGGTTTTACCCAATGCCGTGGTTCCACAGGGGACCATGCCCCTGACCGGTGTTGGCGAGAGCGTGTCTCCGGTCAAGCTGGCTGGATTTTCAACCAGGACGAACAATTACAAGTGTTCTATGATTATGGGTTTATTCTTACTATTCTTACTACCACTATTATTGTTACAAGTATTGATATTTTACTATGATTTCAACCAGGACGAACAAGTCACTGGGCGGCACACAGACCGCAGCCATAAACCAGAGCCTGGACAACCAGCTGGAGGAGATCTACACGGTCCTTGCGGAGGGCCAAGAGTCCGCAAACTGGGTTGCTGTTAAGGAACTTAAATTCTTAAAGTCAGTTACCACAATGGCTTCTATAGTAATTGATATGGTTTCCGCAATGTAAGTAACTTAACTTGAGTTCCTTAAATGCCAATATTCCCACTTCCCACCTCATTTTTTCATTTCTTTTCCATTTGATTCTCCTTTATTTTGGGATAACATAGTATCTTAGATTAAGTTCCTTAACAGCAACCCAGGCAAAGTGTAAGGCACTGCTGGATGGCTCCTATCCCTTTACGTTTCAGTACAAGAAGCGCAAGTGCACTGGGGGTGCCATCCACATCGCCGCCTTGCAGACGGATGGGGAGTTGCTTGAGGAGCTTCTGGCACTTAAGGCAGACATCAACGTGGAGTGTCGCTATATGACCTTCGAGAAGGAGGGCCGCGCACAGCCCATCCACCTGGCAGTGCAGGCAGGAAATGGTAGTTTCCCAAAATAAGGGGACCCCAATATAGACCCCCAAATACTATAGTCCTTATTATAGGGACCCCCAAAATGGTACCCCTAATTTTGGGAAACCCCCAAATGTAGAGACCTATCGGCATAGCCTGCCGCCATGACGGACTACTCGCCAGTCAGCAGTCAGCTAGCTTTATTGTAGTAGTTTCCATTTTCTTTTCCATTATCCCTATATAACCCCAGTATATACCCTATTATATTATAGTTTGGTTGCCTTTGGTTGCCTTAATCATTGAATCATCTCCTGCGCTCGCAGGGCTGCTTGGAGAACGTCCAGCTGCTGATCACGGCGGGGGCTGACGTAAATGCACGGGTTCAAGTAGATGGCCAAGATCACTTCTGCCCTCTCCATGATGCCCTGCTCTCAGCTGCCTGTGTGCACGTCCCTATGATGCCCAGCTGTCATGGTTAGCACTCCTGAAGCATCGTGGACCCCTGTTTCTGGTTCCTAAGGCTGTGTTCTTCCGGGACGTAGACATGGTTCAATACTTGCTGGAGAAGGGGGCTAGCGTGAATGCGCTGAACTTGGACCGTTCCCTGGCTCAAAGGCCTTGCTAGGGCCGGAGCCCTTGCTGTAACTCAGTAGTCCCTCAACAGATACTGGGATCCTATGCAGACTTAAGTATTCCTCATCTGAGCCAAGAGCAAACCCCAAAAGCCATGCCACCTCTTTGAATTTTACCGAGTTGAAGTAGAGAAATGGTTCGCGCCGCCCAGAGCACTGCTGTGCCGTCTCCATGTCACCTATAAGCCTTAGTAAATTCTAAAACAAGCCTCAATTTCCGGCAGCTTCATACGCAAGATTGAGTGTAGCACATATGGAAGCTTCCCACAAGAACCCCTATACACTCCTGAAGATGGACCCCATTATCCCTGTGCACTCCCCTGAAATCTGCACAGTCTGTAAGGGCCCCCCTCATTTTGAGAAGCTCTCCATACATGGCGCTTGGTTTCAGGCATGACGCCACTTCATGTGGCGGCGAAGATGGGAGCGTCTGAGGCAGGACTTTCTGAAAGTGGTGCTTCCAGAATCCCTAAACCCTAAACCCTCATCATCCCCTCGTAGTCCCGGTATATCCCTAAACCCTAAACCCTAAGCCGTAAATCCTAAGCCTTAGGCCATAAACCCTAAATCCAGAACCCATAAACCCATAAACCCTAAACCCATAAACCCATATCCCTGGGGTGTTCAAAGTGTGTGGCCCCCCCCCCCTCCATTCTGAAACCCCAAGGTGGCGGAGCTCTTGGTACGCAACGAGGCAGATACGGAGCTCCGGGACGAGAACCATCGAACTGCCCTGGAGGATGGGAGGGGTTCAGGGTTTGGGGTTCAGGGGTTCTGAGTTAAGTTTTTTTTTTGGGCTTAGGGTTCAGGGATTAGGGCTTCGGGTTTAGGGTTTAGGGTTTAAGGTTTAGGGTTCAGGGTTTAGGGATTGATACTGGAATTGTGGGTAGTAATAGAAACAGTGCGCCTTCTGGTATTGATGGCGGGACTTCTCAGCTCCTGAACTCGGAGAACCCCTGAACCCAAAACTTCCAACCTCAAACTGGGTTGCTGTTAAGGCACTTAAATTAAGTTACTATATTGGGGAAACCCTATTATTTACTATATATACCCATTATGGTAACTTAATTCAAGTTCATTAAATCCCTATATTCCCCCAGCTTCCATTTCATTTTCCATTTTCTTTTCCATTTGATTCTCCATTATAGGGGGATAATAACCCTAAACTTTAAACCCTAAACCCTCAACCCTAAACCCTAAACCCTTTCCAATTTAAGTTCCTATTATGGTAAACTCCTTGGAAGCCTCCTTACAGAGCCCGGAGGTTGCCGTGGAGAGCGGGGTCTTCCCACAGCGCCGGCTCTACCTACTGGCAAAGTTCCGCATCGGTGACATCATGATTGTGTCTGAGTCACGGGCAGTGTTGAATGGAAATTTGGATGTCTGTGTCTTTTAGTGGAGGTTTCGGCTTAACCCGCTCCTGTGAAACTATGAATGGGGTCCCACAGTTGCTGTTCACTGGAGGTGGATGCTTTATTGAATGCTTGAGCCACTTGTCCCCAGGAATGATCAAAATTGAAGTCCACGTTTGTCCACAGCTGGCGCCCTAACAGTCACGGCAGGTATTTCGGTTCGGACCTGCATTGCACGCGAATCACGATTAGGAGTTGAGAGAATGAATCTCACAGGGTTGCTGAGCTGAACCCGCCATTATACTTCCCGCACGATCCCCAGACATTGCAAGCCTTTCCCAAAGACACCCTTCCTAAAAATCAAAGAAACCCTTTTTGCGAGCAACCCTCAGCTCATTGGTTTGCATCTTCCATCATTCGCGCAAAGAAGATGGACAGTATTCCTGTGGTCCAGATTCTGAAGTGGTGTCCATCTTTGGTATTTATGACCAAGGAGCACTGCCCCAGCGCGACAACTGAGTTCATTCGGAACCTTCTTTGCGACTACGCAGGTGCGGAGTCTGCTGACCAGGTAGCGCACAAGACCCTTTACAAGTCGTAAGGAGACAATTTACCTCGGAAATTGTTGGGGGATATTAATATGATTTAATATGTAGGAATATCATTGGTTTGTCGACATCCCTTTTGGGTGCATTGCTTCATCTTCCATTTGCGGGACCTGAGACATATACTCGCGCTATCATCACTGCCGTGTTGATTTTTGTTTTTGGTGATTCTTAGAGAACAGCCAGGAGCAGCCAAGGACCAATGTGGCTGACGAGTTGCAGACCGAGGAGAACCTGACGGTAGAGCACTGGATAGCCCTTCTGGATAACACCCCAGATGCGGCAGACTACTTGCTGGAGATCCTGACAGTTGAGCCAGATGAGGACAGTGTGTACTACCACCCGCTGCCCAATCAGGCCATCCTGAACGAACTCCGGGCAGACTACAACACTGACGATACGTGGAAATGCGACACCGAGACCGGTGACCGGGCCAAGGCATGGCCGGCTTGGCACGACCGCTTGGCGCCCGGCGCCCGAGCAGTCCGCAAGGGACGCCGAATTTCCCACGCCAACTCGAACCGCATCTCTGCGTTTGTGAAGCGGCAGGGGAACCAGCGCACCAACCAGCCGAAGGTTGTGGATTCCCGCGATCTGCAGCCTGTGCACATGCGACAGCTGCGGTTGAGAGGTATTGTGTGTTCAGAGGTGTTGCAGGCACTGAGCGAGACCAAATATGTGGAGATTTTCAAGAACTCAGCCGTCACTGCCACTTTGACGTACTGTTGGGATGCGTTTGTTTTGAAATGGTACTTGCTTCAGCTTCTGCATCGTTTCCTGGAACTGGTCGTGCTCTCGGCGTGGACTTATTCCAAATCTCAGGACTTCAACAACAACCAGGCCAGGCCTGGACATGAAATACAATACTAATAGTAAATAGTAAGAATAGTAATTAATCAATGAATAGTGATAATAGATGATCATAGTATAATTAAAAGTAAGAATACTAATATTCATGATTTTAAGACTTCTTCTAATAATAAAATGAAGTACTTTGGGCTTCGTGTTGTTCCTGCTGCTACTGCTACTTGTTAAACTGCTATGTACTACGTAAATACACCACCGCTAGTCTTGGCGGCATTACGACAATAATTGTGGTTCTCATCCCGAATGATCATCCTAGTATCCTTTGCTGCTACCATTGTGTGCGTCGTTTTCCCTCATCCCTAATCCCTGAGCTCTAATCCCTAATCCATAAACCTTAGATCCTAAACCCCGAACCCTAATCCCTAACCCCGGAACCCTAATCCCTAAGCCCTGAACCCTAAGCCTGAAATCCTAAACCCTAAACCCTACTTGTCAGTATCAGGGTAACCCGTTTAAAGGGGCCTCAGGTCCCGTACTGGCAGCGGCGCCTTGCCTGGACCTTCATGTTTGAAAGCGCCATTCGCGATACCTACATCGAGGCTTTCCAGGCCTATGGCTTCTGCATCCGCTTGCAGAACCCAGGTGGGGTCCAGGGTTTAGGGTGATATAGGGGTTATATTGGGATAATGGAAAATGAAATGGAAACTACCATTTAGGGATTAGGGTTTGGGGTGGGAATGGCTTTCGAGCAGGGCTTGCTCAGGGTAGTACAGGGCCTCTTGGTGTGGAGTTAAACAAGTTGGATTGCCATGTGTGGAATCCAAACCCACCCTGAGGCTCCTACTTTGGGAATGGTGGAAACTATGTGGATGTGGCTTGGCAAAGCTAGCTCTTAGGGCAGAATACTTGCAGGTGTTTTGGGATATTTTTTGGGATACATAGGGACATGTTGGGTTCAGGGGATGATTACCCCTATAACTAAGGAGAACTAAACGGAAAAGACATGGAACCTGAAAGGGAAACTGGGTTATTCGTAGTGGAAACAAGAGCAGAGAAACGTAAGCCAAAGCAACAATGATACCAACTTGGCCTGCTGTTGCTGTGATGCTCCCGCTAAGGCACAGCTGCGACGTAGAATCAATAGTTCCAGGATGCACTAGCAATGGCGGTTCAAGTGGCCTTAGCAGTTGCAGCAGGTGTTATAGCCAAAATAGAAGACGTACCAGCAGTAGCTGTCCTACTAGTGACTAGTGATACAAGCAGCAGCTGTGATGACAATGATGATCTTGATGATCTTGATGATCTTGATGATGACGATGATGATGACGATGATGATGGCGATGATGATGACGATGATGATGATGGTGATGATGATGATGACAGTCCTGCCCAGGTCCTGGTGATCTCAATTTTCAATGTGGTCGTTGGACGGGCCTTGCATACTGGCCTCTTCTACCTAGACGAAGCTCTGGATTATTAGTATTCTGAAGCTGGTGGACCTTGTCGAGGTTCCTTTTTCCATGCAGCACCTTAATGTGAGGGGTTTCTGAGGGCTGGACTGTAAGTTTGGCAACTGTATCTCTTCCATTACCCTTGTGGTGTGTTTTGTTTGATGACTGTGTTGCAAGCACATATGTCTTACTCGTATTGTGTGTGTGTGTGTGTGAACATTTCAAGCCCATCGACCCCAAGCAGAGTGGCATCTGCATTATAGTATGGTGACGCGCTGCGTCAGGAGAGAATTCCCTGTAATCCTTTGAGACTCCTAGAGTCCCTACAAGCCTGCCATTATTTGGAGCGAATGATAATGACCCAGGAGTGGGCCGAGCTTTTCGCCTTGCTTGTCTTTGTTCGCTGGTTTCAGATGCTCTTCGCGCTGAGGGCCTTCAAGCTGGGCATGATCGGCGTGAAAGGAATTATCCCTATACTCCACTCTGTCAAGAAGAGGCTTAGAATGTGAGCAGGTATGCTTTGTACTGCGCAGTTTGGGACATAAAGGAACATCTTTGGATAGGGCGGCATTTTCAGGAGTCGTCTCTGATGCAAGCCTACTACAACACCCTAATCTCGCCGCGGCGACACCTTCTTCATCCCCCAAACTGATCTAAACAGAGCTCCCAGTGACCAGTGAGGATAGGGGGGATGGGGATCATCTGCTTCTTCGTCTTCGCTGGCTTCTGGCATGCCTTCATGATCCTGGACAACGGCATGGAAGGCCCTTTGTCTGGCAAAGCAAGGAAGCGCATGGTATCCTAGCTTGATTCGCCATATGAGCTATATTCATTTTCATGAACACTGGCTAGAAGCTTACCGTGTTCATGTCTGTGTAGGCTCGCAGATTGTATTCTTCTGGTAGATGCTTGCGTTGATCTGCTCAGGTCCTTACAAGTCACTGGGCGCTGTTCAAGACCTATGTTTGATCTTGTTTTGCGAACCCTGGGGGGCAGTGAGAGGTAAGCAATCAAACAACTTGTTTAGTGGTAGGATCCTCAACCTGCACACCTTAGCCTTTTGTCTCCAAACTAATCCCGAATCCAATCCAGGCCCTCAACCCAGCAACCCAATCCAATTGAGGATACCAGCCCTAGAACCACCAGCTCCGACCAAGCCCAAAACCCACCCCAATCCCCAAACCCAGGATACTGATCGGAACTGTCAAGCTGCTTTTCATGGTAGACGGCGATGGGCTTGGAAAACAAAAGGTTGTTGATAGGGGAGATGGGGCTGTCGCGGAAACCTCATGGGTTCATATGGGGATTATGTCCTTTTTTGTTTTCAGGGGTTGCGCTTGAGACAAGGAGATCCACGTCTGGAGAGATATAACATCTACCAGAACTAATGGTGTGAGTGTGAGGGATGCAGAGACCTGTGTTGGTCTGGTAGCTTGCAAAGGCCAAGGACTAGGGACCTGCTTCGGGACGGGACTGGGAAGACTTGGGTTTCATGGGGCTTCTGCAAGGGGCTCGGGTTTTGTTCTGCATACATCATGACCGTCATGATGCAGGCGACGGTATCGTGCAAGTCTTGAAGCTTGGTGGCCGGGGCGATGCACTGGGCAACGGGGACTACATCACGCTGGTAAGCCTGATGGTTGCGGTGATCATCTTCTGTATAAGCTTGCTGAACCTGTTCATCGCTGTGCATGGGCGTGCGTACTCTGAGGCGCACGTCCATGCGGTCAACCTTTTCATGCAAGAGCGGGCTGCCATCTGCGTACACTGTATGGTGCAGCCGCAGCTGCCAATGTGCTGCGTTCATTCAAAGCGCAAGGCGTGGCAGTCTGGCTACCTGTTCGTCGCCGTATTGGCCTTTGGATGTTGGGTGCTTTGCATTGTTATTGAGGATGTTCCTGCCATCATTCCTGCGCTCCTGCTGTCCCTGGCATTTTATTTGCCTGGAGCTCAGTCCACATGTGCTTGTTGATGAGGAAGGCTTCAAGGGCGCAGGAGCTCGCATCTAACAACATCTTCAGGCTTTCGTTGTCCAGACATGATGCATGCACATGCATGCTCAGGTTCAATGGTCTACTGCTGGAAAGGCCGTGGGCAAGCGAAGAGGCGTGCTGGGTTTGGTGTTTAAATGTAATGGAGAACGGGAACGCAAACATTCATGAGCGGCCTCTGCAGGAACACAGCCTTACCTTTCGCCTGCCATGAAGTGATAACCCTAACCCTTTTCCTAAGCCCCGAAGGTATGCAGGCGAAGCTACCTCTGGTGGTGTGCACCGACAACCAAGCAGAATCTGGATCACTGTTTGAGCATGTTTGAGCAATTATACTGCTCTAAATCCTCATGGTCATGAAAAGGTCGAAATAGTGTGTTTTAAGGCGTGAGGTGCAATCCACATAAGGATCTATGTGTAATTACCGAGAAGGTCATATTTTGGCATGGGCTCCACAAGTAACACCAAGAGTCACTACCCGCAGGTGGGCCCAGCTGCAAAGGCCGGGGCATTCATGAAGTCTCAACACCACACCACATGATATGGATATGGTTTCAATGCAAGCAAGGCATTTGTCCAACAAGCTTCACCAGCCCGCCCCATCAATCACCTCTGTTAAGCCAAAGCCTCCAACAAACAGTGTTTTTCAGGGAACCCTAAGCTCCAAGCCCTGATACCCAAGCCTTACACCCTGAATCCAAACTCCTGAACCCTACATCCTAAACCCTAAACCCAAACCCCTAAACCCTAGAATCCTAAACCAAAATCAAACCCCTATAAAGGCCTAGACCCTAAACCCCAAACCCCTAAACCCTAAACTCTGCACCGAGGTATGGTATCTCTGCTGAAGCTGAGCAGGCGGAGATGATCGAAGACATGGCCGAAAGGTCCGCCGGAGCAAGTTGTTTCACCCCTTGTCCCCCAATCATTATATGGGGTCTAAGGTTTAGGGGTTTAGGGTTTGAGGTTTAGGGTTTGGGGTTTAGGGTTAAGAGTTTAGGGATTAGGGTCTAAACTCCTCAAAGAGGGGTTATAGAGGGGAATATTATATAGGAATCGACTATAGGGGTTATAGCTAGGAATTCAGACTGTAGCTTATATACGGTTCTCCGCTAGGGAGGGCGGGGGGTCCGTTGTAGGGACGTATTTTGCAATTGGTTTAGGGTTTAGGGTGAAGATTTGGGGAAGTTGGGAGCGGCAATCACTTTGGACTAAAGTTTCCATCCATGTGCTGCAGCGAAGTAGCATGGTAAGGTTTTGATCGAACCAGTGGAGGCCTTCTTGTTCAACAGCGACCTGTAGGCTACTTATCGTTTCGCAATTTCCGCAGGGGCTTTCATAACCTGTTCAAGGCTTCACCCACTTCAACCCCCAACCCCAAACCCCCCCAAACCCTAAACCGAACCTCGGAACCCGGACACTCTAAACTTTGGAACTTCTAATTGCAAAACGCCTGCACCCTTGCAAATCCTAGAGCTCTTACACCATCTTACACCCCTAGACCTTGATTTGTATGGCCGGTGGCCATGGCTACCCCTGCAAGGCTCGTGCGACTGGAGAAATCCATGGAGGAGTTGCGACAAACGGCCAGCGCCCTGCAGGTGCAAGATGCTGCAGAGTGCTTGCTGTCCCCATTACAACTACTGCTTTTTGGGGGTGTCCCCAATTACAATTATTGCTTTTTTGGGGCTGTCCCCATTACAGTTATTGCTTTTTTGGGGTGTGAGAGTCTAGGGCTGGGTGTTGGGTGCTTGGGATGCAAGGTTTAGGGTTCAGGCAGAGAGTTCGAAGTCGTGACTGTCATTGCTACCGTTGCTCTGCTTTTCCTCGGAATCATTCTTCTCATTGTGGTTACTGTTATTGCTGTGCTGTTGTTGTCCTGGTTATGGTCCTGGCTTTTGCTGCGGTCGCTGTCGTTACAATTCTTGAGGCCAGGCACGGTGATGGGTTACTTTGGCAAGACTCCAGCAGTCCAAGTGCCCCAAGAGTTCAATTGGGGATACGCCTTTGCGGCATCTTAACCATTCAGCAGAGATTTGGACAAAAAAGCTCAACATGTGGGATGCCCCTAACGATCACAAAGGCGCGGCCACAGACCCGTGGGGGTCGTCCATCTGGAAACACCAGACTGGGCGGACGATGGCGATGATGAAAGCTGAGGCATGAACTGACAGCCTTGCTTGGGGATCCCGAACGGCACATCACAACCTAAGGATTGTCCCTTGGGCTTGTAAGGGCCTTATTTCGAAGGAAAATCATGATCTTGGTGATTTTTCTTGTATGTTCTGTAGTCATTAGCTGACGTGCGGTAGTTGACGGTTCTAGTAACAGCACACTGCCCTGTCCTCAATCAAGTGACGCTGTGATATCCAGGACATCTCACCTTTGACAGATATCCAGCGTCTCTATACGGTGCCTTGCATAAACAGGGGGACCCTCTAATGGGAAATCCCCATATGACACATTCTTCACGAGGAGATGAGAGAAGACTGACATGGATGCAGTGTAGCGCCAGCATTGATAGAATCTTCACTTGCCGGTTTGGGGTTTAGGGTTTAGAAGGCATGAAAGTCTGCCCGCTGAAAGAACGCACAGATTTTCCAAAGGCCTCTATATCTTTGGTTAGGGCTCTGCCTCCTTTGACACTGACCAGGTGCTGTTCTGTCCATGACACGCGGCAACTTGCCTCACGAGGGCAGGGCTTCAGGCGCCAACTTGTACAAATACCCTGGCTGAGACCTACGAATATGAGCCTGCTTGCTCACAGGTCCATGATCCTGAAAACCAGGATCCTATCTGACAGCAGTAAACCATTTTGCCCAAAACAAAATGGATATCTACTCCGTAGAAGCTGCAAGACTCCCAGAATTTTTAGGGAGACTTAGGTTATTGCTGTCTGATGATAGCTGGAACCAGTTGCAGCATTTTCCGCTCAGCAATCATTACGATTGTGAGGCTGGTGGTTCATCTGATCCTCCTCATGGAAACGAGTGATTAATGTACAAATAACCCTGAGCATGCCAAAGCTTAACATTTAAACGTTTCTACCTGTTGGAGTTTCCTTACCTGAATGTGGCAGAGGAGGCAAAACAGCTACAAGTGGGAGGGCAGCTGAGTTGGGTGCGGAGTAGCAGCCTAGCAGTACTTAGAGCCAATCAGCCGCAATAAGCTTTTGAGCAGGACTGAAGAAGCTTGCACGAATAGAGCTGTGAGAGGAGAGTGGAAGCACTTGAGAATTGATAGGGGCGAGGCAGGAGGAGTTGTTTGAGGAACACATGGTGGTTTCCCAAAACAGGCAGATCCCAATGTAGGCCGCAAAATACTATAATTCCACCCAAAAAGGGATCCCGAATTTTGGGAAACCCTAAACCCTAATCCTTAAAACCTATATAACTATATAACCTCTGTATAATCCCTAAAATCCCGTTAAAATCCCATACATAGGGCTACGGGATGATGTGCTGCACGTAATAGGAAAGGAAGCCCAGTGCTCTCGATGGGTCCCCTAAATTCTAAGCCCAAAACCCTTAACTGTAAACCCTAAACCCTGAACCCTACACCCTAAACTTCATTCAAGACGGCCTGCGACTTCTACACCATGGTCAGCAACATGGCCGTATCTACACTGTTTTTCGTTGTTGTTTCGCTCAGCTCGTTCTTGTTGCTACACAGCAGCAAGTACACTATTCTTGCACGTGCGTCTGAAAGCAGCAGCATTGCCGGTTCAGCTTTTCTTCTCACGCTTGCCGCTTAGGTTGGTGAGCGAGTAGTCACATCAGAAGCACCAGCTTGAGGCCGAGATTTCTACGTGCATCTCATTGGCATGCAGCAGCACGGAATCAGATCTAAGAACAGAATTGGCATTACAATCAACAGTAATCACAACAACAACAACAACAACTGCTGCTGCTGCTACTACTACTACTACTACTACTACTATCACCTCCTCCTGCTACTACTACTACCACCACCTCCTACTACTACTAGCCCTACTACTACCATCACCTCCTACTACTACTCCTACCACCACCACTACTACCACGACGACCACTACTACCACTACCACTACCACTACCACTACCACTATTACTTCCTGCACGCATGCATCATTATGCTACTGTCTTTAGGCACCTTCGTTTGACTCATAGTTTCATATGGCACGCAATGACATCAGAGGAGGCTGCGCTGCCTCCTCTCCCAGATTTCATAGAAGATTTCGAGGATTCGAATTTTGTTGAAGATGCTTTCCCACCAACGCCTGCAGAAGGCTGCTTCGCAAACCTTGCAGCAGACGATGGTAAGTGGAAGTGCGAGACTTGCTCCCTGCGCTGGGAGGACAGCATCATTAAATGCAAGGCCTGCGAAAGCTACAAGCCGGGCCTGTCCGAGGAAGATGTTGCCAAGATCCAAGCCGAGGAGGAAGAACGGACGGCCTCTGCAATTGCTATGTTCCGAAGTTCTTCCACTACGAAGCCAACGGGGTTTGCTTT